CGTTCGCGTCCTGGGGGTCGGCGTGTGGGGAAGCAGAAGGCAGCGAGGTGCAGAGGACATGGTTCCAGCACGTTCTACCTCACGAGCCAAAGACGCTGGGAACCCCACAGCCAGCCCAGAGAAGCATCAGAGGATAAAGCACACTGCGAGGGGCAGGGGGAAGGAAAGCTGCGCTGCCCTCCCCGGCAAACCACAGCTGCAAAGGGGAGCTGCAGGATTCCCTCGCACCAACCACCTCTGGGTGCTCTGCACCCAACCGGATCTAAGCCCAGAGAGGGACCGGCGGGGATGCTGCACTCACACCGGCCCAAAGCGCAGTGTGCTGTGCCCTGGCAGCTGCCGGCTCTGAGCCCACCAAGCGGCAGCTTTACCGAGTTACCAGACACATCTCGGCAGAGCAGGTGGGTGCCAGGGTCCTGCGCTGGCACAGCCAACAAGCCCCTGGCCAGGACAAGGGGGAGAGCAGGACGACGTCTGGGGCTGGCTGGGCTGCATCATACCAAGAGCAAAACACAGCCGGGCCTCTGGCAACCTAGCACAGAAAGCCACCTTTTTTTTTTTTTTCTTCTTCCTTTTCTCTTTTTTATTTCAACATAGTAGTGCTTGGTTACAGTTTAGTGAAGAACAAATAGGTACATTCATTGGCCACAGCTTCCTGTTGCAGCCAGCTGCTACCTGACTGCAAAGCCAAAACACTGTTAAACCATACCAAAAAAAACCAAAAAAAACCACCAAAAAAAAAAGAAAGTTTAATGAAAGGCAACTATGCATTAAAAAAAGTCCTTGTACTTCTCAGCTATAAATTACTTCAGTAAAACACAGGACCGGCCCCAGGAGGAGCGGTCAGAGTTTTGAAATTAACGGCCATCCGTACAAATGAGTAAAACCAAAACACTTTGCCAGTCACTCACGAGTACATTAGCAACGAGACTCACTGCCCCGACCCGCCCGCCCACTGCCAGGAAGATCGTAGTGGTGGTGTGTGCTTCAGTGCAATACGAACAATGAGCCTGTAGCCCTTTAATTTTTTATTTTTTAATTATTTTTTTTTCCCTCCAAAGAAAAACTTAAAGTGCTCCTAGTGCTTTGGAATTGAAGCAAGAACAGGGGCCACTAGCGTCACTTACTGTCTTTGGTGACTTACGGGAGAAGAAAGAAGGGCAACGCGCCGAGTCCGGGTCCTTCGTTAGCTTTGCCATAAGTCAAGCAGTGATTGAGACGGAGCGAGGTGATCCCGCGGCCCAGCCGAGGCCAGGAGACAGGTCCTTACACCACACAAGGTGGAGCAGGCAGGGCGGAGCTCTGGTTCAAGTACTAGAGCAAGATGTCAGCTCAGAATCTTCTCCAAAAAGAAGCAAGGGTTGCTCCTTTTTTTTGGGGGGGCCAGCCAGAGTGAAGCAGGTTAGCGGGGAGAGGCCCGCAAGCCAGCGCAGAGCACGCAGAGGGACAGGGTGTTCTCGGTGGGAGAAGCGACATCGAGGTCAGTACAGGGGAGGTGGGTGATGGGGTGAGTGGGCCATGCTAGTGAGCACGTGGTAAGCAAGGAGAGGCCGGGCCTGCCCCAGTGCTCGGGGTTCCTCTCACACACAGCTGTGGACATTGAGGCTGCCTCAGGGTCCCTCCGGCACCGGACCCCAGCCCCGTGTCCCACAGCACCGTACCCCACCATGCACACCCAAGTCCTTCACCCCAGCTGGGTCCTTCAGTGCCCGGGGTTTGAAGAGCAGGAGCAGCTCTAGGTAGGTTAAAAGCAGTTCCAGTTCGGGTTGTCAGCAGAGATCAGAGCAGCTGCCCTCCCTGGAGCAGTGCCTCCATCCAAGCTTGGGTCCAAAGCCACTTTGCTCATCTCCACATCAGGCTCAGGGACAAGCCAGGAATAACATCCAGCCTCAGCTCCAAGAGCCTGCTGGAGATGGCCAGGTCAAACTTGGCTGTTTTAAAGAGATGGAGAAACCTCCTCCCAGAGCGACCCAGCACACTCAAACCCCACGTACACCCTTAAATGCTGCCAACACAGCTACAGTGGTCCTGCTCCATGGCAGGGGAAAGGAGAGCAAGGAGCCCAGGGACCAGATCTCCGCAGTGTCCACCGCTTCCCTCTGCGACAGCCTCCACAAGTAGACAGACACCTCCTGCACCTCTGTGGGGACCCCGCCGGTTCACATTCACTTCAGGTTAAAACTCCGGGTTATCTGCTAAACGCAATTTAATACTGAGGGGAGAAAGGGGAGCCCCATCGCAGGTGGTGAGGAGGGGGCGCAGGACTGCTCTCACCACCCACCAGTTAAAGCAGCCCAGGTTTTACAGGCGCTTTGGGCCACGCGTGTTCCTGCACACACACACTGCTGCTGAGCCAGCGCCAGCTCCAAGCCTTCCCTCAAGGCAGCAGCCTCGGAAGTCTCGTCCCCTCACTTGACAGCAGCTACCCTCCAAGCCAGCCCTCTTCCTTTGCCATAAGCTAGTGGGTTGGTCACAACGTAGGGATCTTAATGCCAGTAGGAACACTCGGTCTCACCCTCACAGGCCTCTGCTAGGCTACGCTTTGAGCTCAGCTTTGAACTCGCAGTCCTAGGTAAGACAGTTCAGCAGCCAGGTGAAACCAGGCCCAGCAGTCAAAGCAAGACCACACTGAGGCCAGAGGCACAGGCCCCGCCAGGTGTGAATATGGCACAGGACGCTTTAACATCCACCGCAGGAGGCCCTGCCCGCAACGCGCTCAGTTAACAGAGCTTCACACTCCCAAGTGAGTCAGGATGCAGAGTACTTCACAGAACAGGTCTTTGCAGGAAGACAGTGCCTCTCCCAGCTATGGATGTGCAATTAAAAGAGTAACTAGAACAGTCTCAGACCAAGCAGAGCCTGAGCAAGATTCATTCCTTCCAAATGTGCAGATAAAAGTGCAAATATGCATTTGATGTTTCTTTTCTAGTGAGGAAGCTCTGGTGCATTTAGCTGCCAACATCTTGAAGACCAGACCAAGAAAAAGCTTCCAGAGAGTTCAGCTTCACTTTGCTACATGGTACCTTAAAGTCACAGTTCTCTCGCTTACTGCCTGCAGCCGTAGGCTCAGTCCCGCTTACGGCTGCGACAGGTAGTGGAATGTTTGTGTCGATGAGTTAGATGCTTCAGGGAAGAAGGAAAGAGAAACCCAGGTTACAATCCTATACATGAATGCCACTTCTGGGAGGAAAGGGACCTCGCAGCCTCTTCACTTCTGTGGTGCAGGGTATGAGCTATGGTGATTATTCATCTCCGAGCCGCCTGCGGCAAAGAGCAAGGGGGCACTGTCTGTCGCGGTTCTGCTGAGGTGGGGACCCACCGCGTAGCTGTCGTTCCCAGCCAGGGACCCATAGCAGCCAGAGCACTGAGGGGTGGCCAAGCTGGGAGGAGAGACAGGAAAAAAGAATAACACCAGGCATGGACTCTTAGAGATGAATAATTAGGCCGCGGCTAGTCTCCACCGCTAGGCAAGACTTCTGCACCCAGCACTGGTCAGGGTATCCAAGTCTGCAGAAGCAGGCTATGACATGCAGGCACAGCATCTCCAAGGAACCTGGCTTTGATGAAACCGGTACCAGGAGGAGAAGAGCACCAAGGCCTACACAACACCGGTCAAGAAGAGCCAAAACCTCTGAACCCCTCACCGCACCC